GAAAAAATACAAAGAGACGAAAGAAGGGGGGCTTTGAAAATATTTACCAGTTTGAAAAATACATTAGTAGTAAGTTTTAAATATGTGTCAGAAAACAACTTAACAACAAATAACAATGTTTATAGACCTTTAATATTCATAAATGGAAGCCAAATAAAAGTCTCTTATGTTCATGTAAATAGACAATCCCCATGCATTATAGACTAATTTTAGAACTAGGCAAAGAGATGCAAATTAAGGCCAAATTTTGGTGAAAATAGTGGGGAGGTGGAAAAAAAATTTAGGGGAGGTGCAGCGGTCTAGCTCACAACCCCCATGGAAAGTTACGGCTTATTGTAGAACAGTCCAATATCAACAAGGTGAGGTATGCATGTAATGTACATATGTACCAGTGTATTAAATTTTATTATAAAATGAATTATGAATGTATGACTCCAATCTTGCCCTTCATTACAATTGCTACCAAGTTTCTTTCAAAACATTGCATTAAAAGGGTACTTGACACAGAGATGAATGGCTATCACTGTTTCAATTTTACAGAGAAAACTTTCTTACGTCACGAAGTGTAGATCCTAAGCAACCATCACATTTTCACTTTGTTCCATCATTAAAACTTTCCCAAGGGGAGGTGCATGACCTTTCAGGAGAGGTGCAAAAATTCTCAGAGGAGGTGCAGAACGATCTCAGGGGAGGTGCGCACCTCTCCACACTTCCCCTCAAAATCCGGCCTTGATGCAAATAAATCACCATTGCTAGAAGGAGCATACTAAAATAAGTAAATTATTTCAAAGTTTGGTTGCGAAATGTTGTAAAATACGGAAAATATAGCCTTGCAAAGTTTGCAAATTTTGTATACTTTTGTTTTGCATGCGAAAATTGCAATACAAAAGTATACAAAATTAGCAAACTTTGGCAGGCTATATATTTTCTACATTTACAACATTTTGCAACCAAACTTTGCAATTTTAATAATTTTAGTATGCCCTTCCCGGGAATATACTTTTTTTGCTAAGATAAAAAATTAGTCTATAATGGGAATTGTCTATTTGTCCCCATTATCTATTTTTGTTTCTCTAGATAAAGAGCTAGAGTTTTTGTTTTTTTCTAAATAAAGATAATGACCTAGGGGTGTGTGTTAAAATTTATGTTCTTGTTTTGCCTGTTGGGGGGGGCTTTGAAAATTTTACTGGTATTAAGAGGGGGGCAACGAAAAAAATATTATAACTGTAGAGTTTCTCCTCAGTCTCCCGGCCCCTTGTACAATAAATAATGATCAGACCCTTAACAGAGTTAGGTTAAAATGCGGAAGCGGATGCGGAACGGATGGGGTTAAAAAGGGGAAGGGAACAGATATGGGGTTAAAATGCGGAACGGAACGGATATAGGGTTAAAATGCGGAACGGAACGGATTTGGGATAAAATGCATCATTTTAAACTTTACCAAAATGTTTAACCACAAATTGAGTTTTTTCGCCTCTTTTTTACAGTCGATTTCAACTTACTTTTCACTCAAATGTTCCGAACTTCGCAAATTCGTTGCCAAGTTCAAAAGTTCATAATGAAATTCACAAACAGGTTTGTAAACAAAGCCTCTGATTAGCTATTAAATCAAACCAGCTAATCAGATGCCCAGTTTACAAACCTGTTTGTGAATTTCATTATGAACTTTTAAACTTGGCAACGAATTTGCGAAGTTCGGAACATTTGAGTGAAAAGTAAGTTGAAATCGACTGTAACATTTCTGTGTTTTTGATTTATGTTTTTTTGCAATGGAATGCAACGTCGTAGTGCTTATTATTCTTAACATATCCTATACAACTATTTCAATTAAAGTTGCGACTGAGACAATAGTCAAATGAGCAATATGGACGCTAAAAGTTGATGGGAATAATCATATTGAATACGTTTAGCATGCCAGTAGCCTCGTGGGGATACTTTTAGCGACAGCTCGCAATGCAAATTAAGTTTTAAATTATGCAAAATTTGGTGGTTAGTGAAACAATTTAAGTTTCGAGTTGTTGCGTGTAGCATCACAATAAATAAATAAATTGTATCAGTTCCACGAGGCACAACGTTTCTGATGTGTTAGGCCTGTTTCAAACGTCGCGCTACTCATGTGCCGAACGCATTAAAAGCAATAGATAACTCGAAATTTAAATTATATTGTTTCACTAACCACCAAATTTTGCATAATTATTTTAAAACTTAATTTGCATTGCGAACTGTCGCTAAAAGTATCCCCACGAGGCTACTGATATGCTAAACTTATTTAATATGATTATTCCCATCAACCTTTTACTTGAGCGCCATATTGCAGATTTGACTATTGTCTCAGTCACAACTTTAATTGAAATAGTTGTATAAGATATGTTATGAATAATAAGCACTACGACGTTGCATTCCATTGCAAAAAAACATAAATCGAAAACACAGAAACGTTAAAAAAGAGGCGAAAAAACTCAATTTGTGGTTAAAATTTTTAGTAAGGCTTAAAATGACGCATTTTAACCCCATATCCGTTCCATTCCGCATTTTAACCCCATATCCGTTCCATTCCGCATTTTATCCCCATATCCGTTCCATTCCGCATTTTACCCCATATGCGTTCCGTTCCGCATTTTAACCCCATATCCGTTCCGTTCCGCATTTTAACCCCATATCCGTTCCATTCCGCATTTTAACCCCATATCCGTTCCGTTCCGCATTTTAACCCCATATCCGTTCCATTCCGCATTTTAAACCCATATCCGTTCCATTCCGCATTTTAACCCCATATCCGTTCCATTCCGCATTTTATCCCATATCCCATCCGTTCCGTACCGCATCCGTTCCGTTCCCTGTCCGTTCCGTTCCGCATCCGCTTTCGCTTTTTAACCTAACCCATACTTAACATATATATGTTTGGGGAATTGAAAATTTTGTAATTAAAAGTGATATGTTTAATTAGGGGATTTTTCATTTGTAAAAATATTCTTAACAAAATTATCGTGTTACCATGACAACTACTTTAAATAAATTAAATACTTCATGTTCGGAAAATACAATGGTTTTGTCAGCAAGGCGAGGGGTTTCTGCCTGCATGTATTTTCTAGTAGTTTTGATATGAACAAATTAATCCCGTGGGGGTGGGGGTAACATAGTCGGTCCACAAGGGTTACATAGCTGGTCCAAAGTCTTTGCCTGCAAGCAAATTTTGCCCGATAATCTAAAGGCGATGCCTGCGGAGGAGGCTAGAACGTTGATTGGTAAGCCGATCAAATCTTTTAAACGCTTGATGTATACGCTCCCCATAGAGTTCTGTAATAAGTTCTTTGTAGGTTTGCATGGCGATAAAACATAATTATAATACTATTGTTTGTGGAAACACCACGTAAATATCTATACATATATAATAGATAAGACTCTGTTCACGCTTGTAACTTGTTCACGTACAAACAACGAGTGTTCCACCGACATTCTGACGTCATTCAAACACATCGAAGACGAATTGACAGTCACCACCAACGGCATTATACTGCGTGAACACTCGAATTGTAATCCATCAAGCTTAGAAAACGCGATTGACATTTCCCACGAGAATACCTTCTTGTTGTTGTAGCTCGATATTCTCGATTTCCCGAGGTCGAAATTGTCCAATCCACGAGATTAACCTCTACTGTAATCCCAAAACGCGACAATATTTTGCGGTACATGGCGTCCTACCCTTCTCAACAGCGACAATGGCGTTACGCTATCCAACTGCCCTTGGAATAAAGGCAATCTTCTCTACTCTCAAATGGCCACAAGGCAACGTTGAGGTAGAACGCTTCATGCAACCCTTGGGAAATTCCCTGACAGCTTCTAAACTTTACGGTCGTGCGTGGAAAGACGATCGACAAGGAATGTCAAGCAACCAGAACGATATGGCTAGGAAATTCTCTCGTCGAGAATCAGATAAGAAAGGCGAGTGATATAATAATGACGTCATTCTCTTCGCACCAGGACGATACGATCTGAACTAATGGGCCTTAAGCAGGTTCCCGTCCAATTTGCAGGAATTTCAGTTACCATGCTAGACGTTTTTTAAGCTGTTTATATCATTATTACGAGTGCTCACCAAAAATTTTGAACCAATAGGATTAATTCCTCCTGAGTTACAGCGTCTTCAAAAATAAAAGTGCTGACGTCAGCATTATTTTCGAACGCCTTCAGAAATTAAATTTAGTTAAATTAAAAAATCTTGGTTAAGGTTAAGACGCACTTAAGGCACTTCATTCCTGATATAAAGAAGAATTTAAACATTTTTGCCCAAAATCGCCTTTATTTTAGCATTTGATTTTTAGATTCGGTGGTTGTCAGCGCAATTGCCTTTCACCTCTAAAGGCCGTTTTCCACTAAGCGGAATTTTCCTCATGAATTTTCTGCATATATTTCCACTAGGCTAAATTTTGTGCATACTTTTCCACTAGGCGGAATCTTTCTTTGTCTTGTGATTTCTCGGGTGGAACTAATTAGAAAATACAAAGAGAAATTCTGCTCCGCGCGGCTAGTGGAAAACTGTAACATCCGGGAGTTAGCACTTCCGCCGGGAAAAAAATAGGCACCTCGAGGAGAACTAGACAGCTGTATTAACAAGGGAGTTTTACTTAGCATAGTTGGGTTTTAAGGTTAAAATACTACATTTGGCGACGAGATAAAATGGCAAATCATGGAAAAGTAGAAGAATATGACTCACAAGAGGAATGGAGTCAGTATATTGAGCGGTTGGAATTTTATTTCGAAGCAAATGGCGTGGACGACGAAGATAAACAACGAGCGATATTATTGAGTGTTTGTGGTAGCAAGACGTATAAGTTGATTCGGAACTTAATCACGCCGAATAAACCGTCAGAGAAGACGTTTGCAGAGCTAGTAGAACTTGTACAACAACATCAACACCCAAAACCGTCGGCAATAGTGCAACGATTCAAGTTTAATACTCGGTTCAGGAAACCTGGTGAGTCAATTGCTTCGAATGTAGCTGAATTAAGAAGTCTTTCAGAACATTGTGATTTCAAGAGTACCTTAGAAGAGATGTTACGTGATCGGTTGGTGTGTGGAATAAATGACGAACAGATTCAGCGTAGATTGTTAGCAGAAAGTTCTCTCGACTTTAAGAAAGCCATGAAAATAGCTACATCAATGGAGACTGCATGCAGTAAAGAATGCACGAGATTTGACACATCAGATGGCCAATGCAAATATAACGACTGAGAAACCTGCAACATTACACCGTGTGGACAACCAAGGACAAGGAAACCAACCATGGTCAAAGCCTGAATGTGGTCGGTGTGGGGGTAAACATGACCCGCAACAATGCAAATTTCGCGATGCTGAGTGTTTCCTGTGCCACAAGAGAGGACACATAGCAAGAAAATGTCGAAGCAACACTAAGGCGACTGGAAAAATTAACGAAACGCCAACCCTAACTCAGGCACTAGCAGCAACTATTTAAACATGAAGGATGACGAGATCGAAGAGGAAAACAACAACTATAGGATTTATAGTCTGGGCAAAGGGCAAGCTGAGCCATATGTTGTTGATGTACTGGTGAGCAATGAAAGTCTAAAGATGGAAGTAGATATTGGTGCTGCAGTTAGTGTAATGAATGAGGATACATATACATTATTGAAGAAAAAACTCCCAAACCAAGAGCTGAAGGAATCAAAGATAAGACTAAATACCTATACGGGAGAGCAAGTTAAAGTGTTGGGTCAGGTGGAGGCTTCGGTGAAGTATGAAGATCAAGAAGCCTATGACCTTTACTAGTCATAACGGGGAAGGGCCCTAACTTGATTGGCAGAAATTGGCTCCAAAAGATTAAAATAAATTGAATGAATTTATTTCAGTTAAAAGAGGACAAGAATACCTCAGTCAAAGTTAATATGTTACTTGAGAAGTATGAGAAAGTGTTTCATAAAGAATTAGGAACATTTTCTGGTCCCAAAGCCAAAATATATGTGGCTGAGGATGCAAGTCCAAAATATTACAAGGCAAGACCTGTTCCCTATGCATTGAGGGAAAAAGTAGAAAAGGAGTTAGAAAGATTGCAAGAAGAGGGAACTATAGAGCCTGTCCAGTTTGCAGATTGGGCAGCGCCAATCGTACCAATCGTTAAGGATGATAAGTCGATAAGAATTTGTGGGGATTATAAAGTAACTGTCATCCAAGCTGCAAAGTTAGACAGTTACCCGATTCCCAAGGCAGAAGATCTTTTTGCCACTTTAAGTGGTTGAGAGAAATTCACCAAGCTGGATACACTGCATGAAAAGCGACGTATTCCGAGGTATTCACATGTCTATACGGGTTAGAAGAAAACGCATATTGCAACAGTATTCTGACGTGGAATATTAGTGTGAATACGGCATAGTATTGCAGAGTATTCCAAGCGTGAATAT